TTCCATTTGGGAAGAGTTACTCTGCTGTCAAACAAGATATTAAACATTTACATAGTTCATCAATATATGGTTATCAGCTCTATTATTTTTTTCCACACTGACTTCACTTTCTAATGAGGGGTTATAATGCACTTAAATCACACATCACTATACCAGATGGATTTCACATTCCGTCTTCTTATTCCCTGCCTTCAAGTCTTGTTTTGGATCATGTGTTTGCATGTACTCTTAAAGGGAGTTTCAATGGAGCGAAGCATGAGTCAGAGGTAAAGCTCACTGTTTATCACTTAAAAGACGTTTCATTTGTTTAATTCTAATCTTTTAGAAAAGAAAGGTATACACATTTATTAGATACAGCTGTGGACAAGTGTGCTATGTGGTCTAACTTGCCCAGTTTAACTCTCATGGTGGGTCATCATTCACAGTGACAGATGGCATATTTACTCTATCAGCTTGCATGGAGGAATCTAATCCATGACGCTTTCATTACAAAGCATCAAGACCCTGATCAGAGTGTAGGTTTTTTTGTCTGTTTGTTTTTGGGGTGTGTGTGTGTCAAGACTGAGGGAGATCAACTGTGGATCTTCCAGCCAAATAGAAGATGACATTTTCCACAGCTCCCTCAAGAAACCAAGGATCCCAAGTAAAAAACCTCATTGCTAAATGCCTTCCAGGGCCTAACTTTACTTTGGTTAACACATACTGTTCTCTCAGTTAGAAAGACCCAAGATAGATGGAGAGTATTATACCAAAGTGGGCAACATCTAAAAATCACAAAATACCCCACCTATTACTTAATAAAAGCTACAAGGTCACATATTCCTGCCTAAGCTTGGGGAAGGGCTGTTTGCTTTTTAAGTCATTTACTGCTGCAGCCAGGTCAGCTTTTCAACTGCATTAGATAGGTCATACTCTGGTTTGTATTTTAGTTCAAGATTGACTATTTCCAGGCAATGGGATGAGATTCACACATGGACAGCACATGAATGAAATCTGAAGCACAGAGTCTGGATATTAAATTCATATACATTCACACATTTAACTACCTGAAAGTCTACAGAGCTTCTAAAATGAACGTATGTGCTATACTCTCAACTCTAAGAAGGGAAAAACTTGAGATCAGTGGTTACAAAACAATAAATGAGTTGCATGCTAGTGGGGAGGAGATCTACTGCAGCAAGTTGTGAGGACTGCCTGCATCCCTAGTAAGTACAGAGTCCTAAGCAAGCACCAGCTGAGCAGCAAGTGAAATCACTGAATTCAACTGCTCATCTCCAAAACCCGGTGGTGCCCTCAATTTCATCTGCAGAGCTCAGCACGTGTTGTGCTAACACATTCCACACTGCCTGTCACACTGGAGTCTCAAAAACAAATGGGAGATGGTTGAGACAACAATCATGCCTACTGGAATACACGATTTCAACATCCACGGCTAGTCAGAACAATTCCTTTATATGACTAATTAGCTGAAGTAATGGATGCCATACTAATATTTACGGTACAGGAAAAGCTGTGAATTCCCTGAGGGAGAAAACAGGGTGTAGAGAAAAAACCCACACACATGCATACACACGGTAACTCCATTTCATGCCATCTTGCAAGCCAAGTAGTATAAAAAATGGTTCCACATAATATAACCAGCAGCATGCATCTTTAAAACAGTGCTCAGAAGCAACCTTCAAAGTAATCCCTTTAAGAAAAAAAAAAAAAAGCCACATACAAACCTAAACCAGGATCTAAACCACCTCTAATATCCTAATTGCTATTGATAAATGGTGCCATGTGAAGTAATCCTAACTTGGTCAGGAGTAGGCACTTGAAGCCTTAGTATCTGCATAAAAACCTTAGGGTTGGAGAAGGTGTTCAAGTCTACAAATCTCGGAATCTCGGTTGTATGATTACAATTAATCAAAGACACTGGCATTCTTCTCTCTACTTTTGTTATTTCAAAGTTGCACAAACTAATTGCAAAATTTGTTTGTTAGTAGTCTCTTAAACTGGTGCTAGGCTCAACTTCTCCCACTGCCAGATTTCTGGGGCTGATGGATCCCAAGGTAGCAATTTTAAGAACTTTTTGGCAATACCTCAATCTCCTCTTGCAAATTGGAAGATCAGACTGATATTAAAAATAATAATAATAAAGAAATAGGAATAAGCAATATAACTGACATTCCAGACAGAACTACAGAAGTCAATGAAATCAGGTACTACAGCTTTACAGAACAGATGCTTGCCTTCCTTTCAGACTATGTATTACATAAAATTAAAAAGACAACAAGTACAAAACTTGTTGTGCTTTTAGCAAATGTTTTAAAGCATTATTAAAAAAATAACGTAAACAAACACCTTTTGAAGTAGTGCTTGTAATACAGCTATTGCTAGCTTAGGGTACTGCATTAACTAAAGAACATAGAAAAGATCTTAAGTAGTTAATGCATTACAGTAGGTTAGTCTCTAAGTGAAAGAGTCGACATTCAGATAAGGTTCAGGAAGAAGTCCATCTATGCCAATAATGGCTTTCATTAGGGTTCGGTTTTTAGTATTGATAAATTTAAATCTAAAACTGCTGCAGTTCTTTGCTCACTATCAGCTTTGAATTTGTTTCATGAGTAAAGAACACATTTTCTGACTCTCTAGTTTTGCCTCTTCCAGCAAATTCAATAAGCAACGTTAATCTCACTATTCTTCCATAGGCAAGAAAAAAAAAAAAAAAAGCAAGCCTTATGAAAAGTCTGTGTCTGTATTGCTGCTTCTTGCTTACAAGTTTGGGTAGAAGGATCTACGGGAGAATAATTAAAATTGCCTCAAGAAGCTGAAACCTGACACTGAAACATAATCCACACAAAAAGTAGAACTGTAATGCCAAATTAACATAGCTAAGTCTCTACTTGCAGAGTTCATCTGTCTTGTAAGCAGTTGTGGCATTGATAATGCATTCCCCATCAATAGACTGAACATCCATAGATCAGCATGAAACTGCACGACGCAAGAGGGACTTCCTTCCATACATTCATCTGCAGACTGCAATATACAGACTGTTTCTGAAGTCACAGTACAACTGCACTATAATTTATTTTTAGAAAAAAAGGGTGGGCAGGGATAATATTCATTAAACCTTCCAAAAAAAGAAAAAAGAAAAAAAAAAAAAGCAGCCACCCACTAAACTGCAGTTGTGCTGCTTACACAAATTACAGGTTGCTTGCAACAGCTGCCAAAAAAAATTAAAAAGTGAAAAGACACCAAAGACCTAAACTACCCTTCAAAAGGCAGGGGCCAATGATACAAGGAACAGCAGCAGACATAGTGCTAGAGACACTGGGGTAATATACCCACAAAAGGTAGGTCAAACAGGTCTTTCTTAGCACTTAACGAGCATAAAACAACGATACCCGGCAGCTGCAAGGTAGGAATGTGCTTATTGCAACAGGGAAAACTAAAGGCAGCTGGTCTTAGGGACCTGCATTGTAAGATTTATCAAACTCGCCTCTTGTTTCAAGTAACAACACTAGAAACTGGCAAAGTAAAAGTGTGATTTAAGTTACCTCCACTTCCTCATGCAGATAAGGCATAAAGTTTGAGATGCTAATGTTACCGAAATCTCGAGCTTAAAAAGGGAAGTTTATGATTTCACCGAGCCTGTATTACATGGTCAACAAAGGGGAGAAAGAACCGTAATTTTCCCTTTGATCTTTTAACTTAAGCGCTGAGCTCTAAATACCATGTTTTTACAGTATTGACTATACCTGTTAACAGGAACCTTTGCAAGTTCAACAGGCCACAGGACAAACAAAGGCGGTCAAATATGCCCCAGCTTGGCAGTAAGGAGACATTTCTCTTTTGTACAAGTTTATTAGCCATCTAACACTAACAAAACTGCCTTCAAACCATAGGTCAGTTCTTAACACGAGCTGCACGCGCATAAGGATGGAGGGGCTCTGGCAGCGCAGGAAGTTTGTTTTAGGAGAAAGGTTTCCTTTCCAGCATGAAACACAAGCGGAAAATATTTCCCTTCCTTCCCCATGCCCAGCAGCGGTTTTCGAAACAGCGATCCCGCGAGCTATGCGTTTTGAGACGTAGGCGAGGAGCAGCTCATTTGTTCCTCGCGAGGCGCCAAGCGCGATCCCCTGGTAGCAGCTCCCTCCTTACGAGGGCATTGCACCATCCTCATTCCTCGGCGCCTCCTGACTTGCCGCTTTCCACCCCGTGGCCCACTTGGAAGGGCCGTGAGGAGCAGCAGCTGCTCGGCTGCCTGCAGGCTCCTACCTGCCCGCACCAGGGCAGAAAGATGGGCCCTGCCAGGCCTCCATGGACACCCCCAAGCAGCCCGGAGCACCCCTGCCCTCCAGGAAACGCTTGGGAAACGCTGCCTGCACCCCCTCGGATCTGCCCGCTCAGTGCGAGGGCGCACAGGGATGCGGAGACCCCAGGACATGTTGCGAGAGGGAAGGGGAAGAGACCGGCAGGAGGATCCCGGGCACAGAGGCCAACAGCGCCGGCCGCGCTCGCTCTCTCCCCCCGTGCACAGCCCTGGATCAGGTTTCTGCCGGGATCAGCGCAGGCCTTGGGACACTGCCCTCCTCCTACACGCGCCTCCGGGGGCAGGGCGGCAGCCTC